AGAGAGAGAGAGAAGGGGGGGTAGATATACCGAACTACACAGTGTGAGAAATTCGAATATTTTGACAGCTGCAAGTACGTACGCTCGTATGTGCAAAGAATAGCGGACACTCACGTCTCTTGTTGTAAGATCGTGACAATGAGCTAGATGAGATCGCTTGTTTGTCTTCTTCTTATGTCGCATCAATGTAGTGTTGTTTCGTTTGATTGTAGAGTGGGTCTTCTGTCTGCTTTTTTGTTTTGTTTTGATTTTGGTTTGGCTAATTTTTTCGTGGGTGGTTGACGGGTGCTCTGGTGTGGTTTGCTCCCGCTTTCCTTTAAAACATCTGTCGTCCTTATCTCCCCTTCTTCATTTTTGTGTATGTTACTCTCTTGTAACACATAATCTATTCTTCGGCACTTATTATTATGACCTTATTGTGTTACAAGTGCCGTGCGTAAAACTCTTACTAAAACTTTACTATTTTTCCTCCTTAATCATAGTTTGGGGGCGGGGGGGATTGCTTCTTTTGATTGCAGAGAGGGTCTGATGAGGAGAAAACGTGTGAATTTGTTCTAATTTTCAATTCTCGTAGTTTTGACACATCTCTCTCTCTCTCTCTCTCTCTCTCTCTCTCTCTCTCTCTCTCTCTCTCTCTCTTTCCCTTCTCAGTTATGCTGCACAGGTTTCTTACCGTAAAACATGGGTCTGATTCAGCGAGCACTAACCTGTCCGGGAGGGAGGGTGGGGGGATGGTTAAGTGAAAAGGGGCGGGGCGTGGCGGAGGCTGCAGACAGACGGACTGGTAGTTTGACTACTGACGTACCACGTGTGACTGGTTTCATGAGTAGTCAGTATCGATGTTAACATAATGCTGGGAGTAAATATCGATACGTAGTTATCGAAGAAATCACCAAAGCCGCCCGATCCAATGTTTGCCCAAAGATTCTCTTCTCACTCTCTTTGGCATGCCTTGGAGTTTTCTATTTTCGATTTCGCTTCAGGCTGTGCACGTGATACGCAGATTGATAGGCAGCCTGTTATGCATTGGATGGAAACGTGAAATTTGTTAATAGGAAGGCGCTTCTTAGATGCAAGAAAATGAATATTTATGAGGGTGGCCTAAGTTTTTAGACGTGCTTGAATATCCTCAAATGTTTACAGAGTGTCCGGATGAGCGAAACCCTCGTTAATAACCGATCTCAAGCCTCGTGCGCTTGTAGTAATAGTAGTTGTAGATGTTTTAATCCCCCAATGACACGCTTTAGGTCATTTAGGACGCGGCTTGCTTCGACCCGATAATCTTCTACGTACCAAATCGAGGCACCCTACCGCTACACCACATACCAATTGTATGGGAATGGCAGTTGGATGTAACTGTACCCCGAATTTGTTTTTTCGTGGGCTCTTTTTATTTATTTTCTTTAAAATAATTATTTGTTTGTTGTTGGGTT